CAGTCAACCTGAGTGGAAATTTCACGTAAATCCTCGAACTCTCAATGAAGTAGGAAAAGCTAAAGGAAATCTAAAGCAAGTAGACAACCACAGAGGGATCATTATCACTAATAAAATGTCCTGGATTTTAGCCTCGACTGTACCTTGACGTCAAACTAAAGCTCTTGAAGTGCAGACTGGGAAACGTCAAGCTGGTTTCATAGCTGTATGTGGCTGTATGGACCAGATATTCACACTACATAGGCACACGATCAGATGTATAAACCGTAGCTGTACGGTCCGATCTATGGGTGTGAAATACTGGAATTTAGAAACGCGCATATTCGAAGGTTACTGGTATCTGATCAACCGTGTCTTTAGGATCATTGCTCGCATATCCTTGTACAATGGAATAAACAATGCTGTTGTTAGGCAAATGGTACTAGGTAAGAATGGCGAGTCAATTGATACAGTGGTAAACCTTCATCAGTTGACATAGTCGGAATTTATATCACGTTTGCACAACCATCAGCAGCCTCGAACAGCGATTTTACCTGGTGTAGAAGTAGGCTGCAAGAAAGCTAGGCGTGTCTAAGTCAAAAGACATATATCATCACGTTCTGATTACTTCACTTCTATCCGACTATTTGTCAGGAGACTTCGAAGACGGTCAAAATAACCCACATTTCACAATAAATCTCATTTATCCGATCAAACATCTTGAATCGGTTTAAGCAATCGCTAGTTATATGCTTCTTTCTTTTGAAATTCATCACAAAGTTTCAACATATCCATTGTATTATGGAAGGTAGATCAACTTACAATCACGACTGGAAAATGACTCTGAATGCACAGAGTGGAAGAACACAGAGAGCATTTCAACTCCATATTCAATTACTATCAAGTTTGTGCAAAAATAAATTCAGTGGCCCCTGGTACAATTGGTCATATTAATGGATATTTCTATTAAACCAATCGTGTTTCCTTCGTAGAAGTAAAATCAATACAAGTTCTTAATGTATTTTAAACAGAAGTTGGTTTGCATGTGTAAGGGCATGAGTTCCTTCATTGTTAGTACTAAGGACTGCAGTTGATTAGTCTGTATTATCTTATGTACTACATGAACGGATCTCCTCGATGCCGCCATGTCGTTACCAGTTTTCCTCTACTGAGATTGTGACTAGTTGTGGAACTGACGAGCTATGCTTCAATAACTACGGACTCGTCGTGTGTTCGTACCTGATTGTTCCATTGTTTGTGTTTTCTTAGCGAAACTTGAACGAAGTCATCAACTCTCTCGTCAAACCACTGGCAGTATCCACTGAGCTACACAATCACACAAGTTCCACAGTTTAGCGGCTTTCTGGACGCAGATAATCAAGCTGCCCTGTTCCAAATTGTGTCGAAAGTGTATCCTGTATTCCACTGCCTCCTACAATCTAATCATGACTAAATGCTCTCAGCCTGCCAACTGACTCCTTCCTGCTTGTGTTGTTGCTCCCTACACCTCTTTACATTTTAGGTGCTCGATTAATATCCTTGACTTTCCAGCTCAATGATGAATTGTTTTGTTTACTTTCTCCAATCAGATTGTGTAATATTTCACTCAGTCACTTCAAACACAATACCAGGAATCCTGATTAAGCTGGTCACATATTTCTCAGTGAGTCTTCACTCACATACAATATAAGACATGGATACAATTTCACTTATCTAACTGCTTGTTAAATTGAATAAGTTCACAAACACAAACAACACTTCGATTACAATTTTTAATGGATTAATGACTTAATGAAGATGTGAACAGTGTTCATGTCAAACCAAACACTCAAGTTAATTATACTTGTTCAAAACTGAAGATAACACAAACCAATTACATAATATTAATGTCACTAGGGTGAAAATATAGTTACTGTTTGCTGTGTTTTTGTTGAGACTGAGATAGGTAGTCATTTTTTGCATTCCAAAATACTTAAACATGATTGTCAAAGAAAATAAAACATTCAATTGAACTACTGTTACGCAACATATACAGAATGAAATTTCACACAGTGAACACTGACTTCATCTGAGATAATGATCAAATAAATTAGACTAAGCGTATACACACCCACTTATCTCTAAGCAAAAAACAAATATTCAGTCAGATTGAGTGAGCGAAAATCCTCAAATGCATGTGATGCGAAATTTGCATGAAACAGATGACGGGAATCTGATTGTAGGTTGGCTGTAATGAGAATTTCTTGTTGTGAATTCAATTCATGTATCAATCTCATCTATCTGATCTGAGATGATGAGCCACAAACAAAAACGAAATTCCTATCCACTCCCCCCTAGTTTTCCGTGGTGTCCTTCATGATTTACATTTGTGTGTGCCTACTATTGAATACCTGCACAAAACCACTTCATTTACACTACTGTTCGTCCGAAATTAAAACTTATTACAACTGCATTCAAACACTGATATCCACTGTCCTCTCTTTACCCATTCACATATTTATTTACACATATAAAACAATCGTCTCTACTGCATGCATAAACATTTGCATTTACGATAAATTCACATTGTAGAATCATCGACTTTCACATCTTCAAATAACTTTGTACATATTATCCTGTTGACAAACGATAATTTCAACTTCAATTCGACATTAACATCTAATTCATGTTTAATAAATCGGTCGTTAGTAATAACACCAAATTAAATGTTCAACTTATTCAAATTTCTTATTACTTTTCAAAATAACAAATAGTTGAATTAGTTAATTTCATTTCACAGTATGTAACAAACCACTAACTCACAGTTTCATGTAATATTCAAGCAGCACTAACCATGCTCTTACCCATATACACTAACATCTATCTTTGCAAGTATGTGTTCACACAAGTAGCTAAATGCAGTGCTCAGCTTGTTCACTCCGCATCATCATAGTGCGACATGGAGTAAATCACTCACACACACACACACAACCAATTGGTCAACATTGTTTTATACGATGACGATTCACTCATTGTCCTACGTGATTTCATATTCTACATTCTTGTATCCACAACACACTGTCCTATTTTCCTTACTCAACTCACTGTGAATTACAAGTGAAAATGATTATTCAAGTTGTTTCTTCTATACAATATTCACCAACATATTGTTTGTATCAGTCATTCAGTCAGTCAGCCAGTCAGCTAGTTAATCAGTATTCGGTGTCTATATGGTCAAATTCATACTTGTCATGGTTGGATTAGATTGAATAATTTTTATTGCTCATTAAACTTGATAAGATGAATTTGATTTAAGTGAGATGATGATGGATAGATGAGACTAGTATTTTCATTATCACACTGTTCATTTTGAATAATCACATGAAATGCTTTTAGCCTTTAGGGGTTAACCCCGTATACACATCAAGTTCAATTCATCATAATAAAAAAAAAATCAAGTTCAAAACACATCCATGTCTCTTCTGTTCAATGTTCCTTTCTATACACCATAGATTCATTCATTCAATGTTTGTTTGTTTTTTATCATTCAATTTGTGTGAGCTTGTGTGTTTTTTATATGAATCACAATGGACAGGTGATTGAACTTTAAACTTCCACTGTGTGAGATTATTTTGTTTAATGTTGTTTTGTTTTTTTCCCTCGAAAACTCATTTCGATTGCGTCATCATCATCATCATCATCATCAATCAACCATATTAGTTATCGTTTTATTAGCAGATGAATATGGGTACACCAAAAAAACACATACATCTCTGATCTATATGTATATATTCACTCACCTAGTAGAGCGATTTTAAAAAAAAAACATTCATGTTAGTAGGTGGTCCCTACTCACTTTTTTTAATCATCGAACGCACGGCGAGTGACATAATGTTGCTCAAAGAGAGGTAGACAGGTCTCATCATCATCAGAAACCCAACAGTATAAACCCTATCAATAATGACCTCATCTACTAGTTACTTTAAGAAAGCTGGATCCTGACTCTCTGTGTGTGTGTGTGTGTGTGTGACTATCCGTCTCTCCATCTATCTCTTCTTATCATTAAAAAATTTAGCCACATATGTCAAATCATTCAACTGTAAATTTCCATAATATATTAAACTTGCGACTTTATATATTGAGGTGTTTTATTATCCAGATTGTAAAAATGAATACTTTCATTTTTAGCGCACACAAAGTGTTTTATAACCTATTTCCCATTCCCTGACTCCGTCATCATCGCTCATAACGAATGCCTGTTTGTTTCGCCCAGATTGTTTCTGATAATATCATGTGAGGTGTGTGTGTTTGTGGGTGTGTGTGTGTGAGACAGAGAGAGTGAGAGATTTGAAATATTTTATTTTTTAGGTTTGTACAGAGCAAGGTAGTAGTGAGTGATTGCGTGACGGATTCATATTTTCTCTATGATGAGTATGACTGTATTGATTCTACTGCTGATTATATAGTGAAATCCATTTCTTTTGTATCCAGACTTGGTAATTGTAGTGATGGAAGAAAGATGATGAGGCAAATGCACAGGCTGATTCAGAATTTATGAATTCGGTTAGTATTGCTCGGAACGAAAGGAGAACATAATGCAGTATGCTCATGTATACTGATTCTCAATAATTTACACATGGTGACCAACCTACTAATTCGCAGCCCTGGAAATTGGTATGAATGTTTGTGATCAGATTTTCACTAAGTATTAATCAGTCTTTACTATTCTCTTCTTAAAGGTAAATCCCTGTTGAAAATATTATTCACTACAAGCTGAACAAGAACAACAAAATTATCATGAATTCATTTATTCAAGGCAGACATAATATGACTTGCACAAATAGATATGTACAAATGGCGCTTTTATTCAATGCATAAAAATATGTACAAACAAATGGAGATCGAATCATCAGTAATTCTGATTGGCAATGTTAATAATCATTATAATCCCTATGGTCATAATTATCACAGATAAGCAAATTCGGGTGAGAATTACAAAGAATATGAATGGAGGATTTCTAAATGGATATATACTAAATTAATCAACTGCTTGTATCGTATTTCGATAAAGTTTTGTTGGAATAATCTAGAGCCACTGTATCGTGCTGGTTTTCTGCAGTTGTGTTACAGTGACTACTGATATAACTATTATTCTTATTATTATTGTTATTATTATCAGTAGTATTATTATTCGAACAACTGTTAATTATAGAATTAGAAATTAATCTAGGGAAAGAATTACCATCACCATGGTAATTATAGAATACATTATTTTGTAAACCTAAACTAGAGAAATTATAATTTGTATTGACTGACCAATTACAAGAATTGTTGATATTCGAGAAATTTTGTTGTACTTGAGATAGAATACCCGAGGGTGGTTGTGATAGCACCGGGAATTGATTTTCATTGATGGACATCATCTGATGGAATGGTTTTAATAAATTTCCATCCGCAGAATATGTACATGTGTTGGGCATGACAGGTGTATTTTGCTTATTAAAATCAATTGGAATATTGTACACGAGAGAGTTTGGCATAATTTGACTGTGCGATTGCATCGATGCTGGACTGCTCATTGCTTTTACATAAAAATTGTAAAAAGATTGGTATTTTTCATATAACTGCGATAATTGATTCTCTGGTAAATTGAATGTGGACGGAATTGTAGACGATGGAAATGTTGGGGACATGGCGGACACTGAACCATAATTCACTGGGATCGATTGATTTAATTGGCGAAAAATAGGATTCGGCAATTCCGAAAATGGATTTATGCGTTCCTTCGGTACGGAAAATGCCGATGCATGGTCTTGATCTTGGTAGGTATATGTCACCTGGGATGAAATATTGAACGAATTCGCTTGGTCAGGTGAAAGTATACCGCTGTATGGTATAGTAAGTGGTCTCGAAACAGAACGGTTCAATTCTGCACCGTTATTTGCCAGTCTTAATTTTCTAACTCGTGTTTCGGCACTTTTAGAGTGTGAAGGTGTAGCACCGGAAACACTTGGCAAATTTATAAATAAATCGTTCGGATTAATTGGTGCACTCTGGACTGGTTTTTTACTCTTCGTCGTGATTTCATTTTCTTAAAAAAATAACACAAAAAATTTATAGACCTTTATCGGTGTCGCGTTTGAAATTAAAATAGTCTCTCGTTTACACGGTCGTGCTGGAAATAAATTCAGTCGCTGATAAGTACATTTGTGTTTTAACTATTATAATTTACATTTTTTAAAAATATTTTGACAAATGTTTAGAACTGGAATTGATGAGAGGTTTCACAACTGATTTCTCCAGCGACTACTTATTGTTATTAATGTGGTCGGCAGCATGTTGACGTGATAAACCACAGTTGAAGAAGAGATACTTCGTCTTTCGGGATTCAGCATGTGCCAAATAGACGTTCATTGCTGATCACTCCCTCCACCATTTGAAGGTGTGCAGAATTTATTTTATATTAGGCAAAGGAATTTTTCAGTTAAAAATTATGCATCATTCACAATAGACTTACTTTGATGTGTACGCATATGTGTTTTCATGGAGCTTTCTTGGGCATAACCTTTGCCGCATACACTGCATACATGTGGTTTTCGTCCTAAGCGATGCAAAAATTCAGGAAATTCACATATTATATTTAAAATGTCAGTTGATCTAATTTTAAAATTCGAAAGGGATCAATAAATCAAGAAGATCAGCCGAATACACAAAACCAGTGTGCGTCACGCTAATAGTCAGTGATAAATAATTCAATATGTTCACAGCTTATATATGAAGTCACATGGTGTCCGACTGAATAATTCAGCGGAATACAGTTCAGACTGTGAAATTGAAATTAGTGAAGTTCGAATTTCCCAGCAAACATCAGTTCTGCTGAGATCGCTGTGACGTTTCTTTTTGACGAATACTATATACATTAGTTGGCAGACGACATAGTACTCGATGGATTCAAACGACAACCACCTAACGCTCGATAATATTTTTTTTTCAGATTATCCACGTAAATGTTAAACATCATACACATCGGCATTCACCGAAAACACATGCTTACCTGAATGAGTAGTTTCATGTGATTTCAAATTACGCTCCGTGGCAAAACCTCGATCGCATAGATGACATCTGTACGGCCATTTTCCTGTATGCATATATTCATGTTTCCGTAAGTCACCGGGCGTTACAAATGCTTTTGGACATTGACTGCAGACATGTTTACGTGTCTACAAATTTTGTAAACATTCGGTAAATTTATGAGGCGATTATATTTTTTTCTTATTATTTATAAATATACTTCACTATACACATCTATTTGTAAAAGCTTGTGTCGATGCCTTTGCGAACAAAAAACAGAAACATCATTTTTTGACTGCGCGATACGGTACTCTATTGATCAAATTCGATCTAAACAGCGGGATTGTTAAAAAATATCCAATACAATAAAAGTATACGGTGATAACAGTATTTAATTTAAAATGATGACCGAGTTACAGAATATATACATCCATATTATTTCCATTCTACAGTAAGTAGCCTCATAATGCTGTGTTCGAAAAGACATGTTGAGTGAAACACTTTCTTTGTGAACTAACGAGTTTAAGTCAAGTGATTTCACTAGATTATGTATAAGATAAACCGTGCTTTGCTTGGATTCTTAAGCGAACTAAGGCGAAAATATATACTAATAATTTCGTTGATTCGACGTATTCAATTTATTTATTACTGTGGTCATAAATCTTGTATATCTGATCAAAAAACTTTAATTTCATATACATGAAACTCATTATATGAAGAAGTAAATTAAGTTCAAAGGTTGTTTAACAACATTTTAAAAAGTACACATTTTCCCTTTATCAGTAAATATGTTTTAGACATTATATTGCTTAAAAAAAAATTTAAAAAAATGAAAAATTCATTCACTTATATTGATGGGGTTTCGTTTCTGAGCTACTTGTACTTCTACCTGAAGTTTGTGTTGATAATATCGTTCAAAAGTAGAATGAAAGCTTCACAATCAAAACATCCAGCTTAGAGAACGGAACGCCATCATCACAATAATCCACCTGAGTTACAAATTGTCTCCATCAATCTCAAAAAATTTAATTTAATTTTCTTTTTCTTCAAATTAATCAATTCGTAAAAAAAAAAATTAAACACTCACATTTGTATGAGTATATTTGTGGAAAATAAGATTGGAACCCGCAGCAAAACGTCTACCACATACACGACAAACATATGGTCTTTGTCCTGTATGTGTACGTTCATGTGTATTCACACCGCTACGTGTTGAAAAGCCTTTGGAACAGTATTTACATTCAAATGGACGTTCACCTGCGATAAAAAAAAATAACAAAGGCTGATTAATTTAAATCTCGAATATGCTAATGATAACACTTATGTCTATGTGAACAGACACAGATTTTATCCAACCGTAATAATAAAAAAATAAAGAAGAGAAGTTTGTAACATTTCATTGAGAACGGAATCTCAACCTTTTTTATGAATCTAATTCTTGCATAATTTTCTTCTTTTTTTGAAGTGATTGGCACGAAACCGTCTCCTATTCGCAACCTATGGCAGTTTTAATAATAATAACGATATTTGGATTCTATTATCACTGACTACAAATCTTTTTTGAAACTCTGGTCTCAATACTTGCGACCCTATTTATTCTGTGAATATCTCCTCTCTAATACTCTACATAATATTTTACAATAAATTGGATTCAATGACTTTATTATTGATTGATGTAACACAGTGATTACTCTTAATTTAATGGTGTCTTTTTGAAAAAAAAAATGAAAATTTCACCACTTATTTGTCATTTAGATCTTTCTTTGTGTTTAAATTGCTTATGTCTTCCTAATGCATAGATTTTCCTTGAAACTATTAGCATAGACACTAATATAAATCTGGTTTATTTCATTTTTCAACACATTCATACCTGTATGCGTAAGTGTATGCCGTTTTAATAAGGATGGCCGATCGAACTGTTTATCACAATGCTCACACGTATGCATACGTCGTTGTCTTCTTCTACCACTAACCACTTCCTTATTATTTCCTACATTACTAATCGAAGCGGCTTTTTTATTTTCTCCGGCCGTATCAATCAGATCAGCCACGCATAGATTTAACTTGACTGATGATGTATTCAATGCTTGTTTCGCTGGTTTTGTCCATAGATTCATAGAATTGTCAGGGTCGTTCAAATTGGATTTCCATGATTTCTGATTATGGATTAGGTTAGTTTTTGTGGAATTTAATAATTGTTGTTGATCGTAGTGTACTGTTGGTGATATTTTGTATTCCGAAACGATCGATGCATTATCACACACCGTATCTTCTGTACTGCTATTATGAATATTACTGGATAATAGAAGCTTTTTGGGAATGTCTCGGTTCAATTTGTAACGTTTGATTTCTGTTGCCGGAGTGGATGTAGCGTCGAGTTTGGATTTAGCCAAAGGTTTTGGTGTTTTATTATTGTTCTGGAACAAAAGTGAAATTTTCAAAATGGCATAGTTTAGTCTAATGATATGTTTTTTTTTTTAAAATATCCGCAACCAAATTTTTATACTAGAAGCTTGTGATAATGACTTCAATGGTACTAAGACGAAAATATAGCCTTTTTCGGCGTTTATTTACAACTTAGCCACTCTATTGAAGAAGCTATCGTAATATATCAAAAAGTGACGTTAAAAACCGCTCAATTAACACAGGACATTCTACACACATTTTAGACATCGAATTTCATCAAAAAACCAAACGAATCTATTGATACGTATGGCTGAAAATCGCCCAAGATTTCGTTACATCTAGTTTGGGAGTAATGATTGCCTGCATAAAATTAGTGTTGGTCAAAACTGATTACTAGCACAAGTGACTAGGTATCGATTTTCAAACCGTAAATTTTATTTTGTAGTGCCTCCACGTACATTCGAGTTCGCTTACATTTAATTTGGTTAAGGCCTTTCGATTAATTTATTTAACCAAGCCATTTGTAAAACAATATTTTATATGTAACATTGGCTTTTATTATTGTATGATTTGTATGAGCTGGTCTGACTGAGCATAGCTTAACGCCCACGCATTCTATCCGCCTTAATATTGATTTCCTACATATCACGACAACTTCGGACATTTCAAACTTTTTAACTCACTCACACATGCGCACATTCGCTCGCTAGTGCGCTTGCCCTGTCAGCATTTAGTCTGCTACCTCTATTTGTGGCCTGCCAGAATAAACATATTCAACAATTTACCTTCCGATTTATTAACCACCAGACGCTATTTAATAACGACTGTGTGGACGAGCTAATTACGAAGACTATGAACACGTAGAAAATGGCCACCACAAATCTGGTGCGCCCGTCGTTCATTCATATCACTCCCCATTCGATTCATTCGCTTCGTTCGCCGATTCGTCTACACGGTTGAATCTATCAAATTCGCCACACAATCTGTTAAGCTCGAAGTTTTCGGGATGTTTCCTGATACTGCCGAAAAATTTGAACTCACCCTACTAATAGGTAATTCCGACGTAGAATCGAACGCAATCGCCGATTAGTAATCACGAAAACGAATCGATCGCTTCCACAATATTACTGACAATAACTATTTCGATACGAAATCCTATTGTTGATTATATTAACTTTGTGTGGATTATTATTTGACATATTTTGAAGATATTAACTATCACGAATTACGTCATTATACATAAAACTGTTTTACTGCTGCACTTTAGTAAGTCTGTTCCGTGTTATTACCTTTTATTAATTGTTGTTTACATAATTACCATCTATCGAATTTCCTCCCCTTAAATTTGTTAATTTGTTTGCCTACTATTTATTGTACATTAAAATGTCTTCAGTTAACGAAACAACACTGACACAAGTGGCGTCCGTGAGGTCCCTTAATATTACTTATCCACCGTTCAGTGTCACAGACCCACAACTTTGGTCTATTAGACTTGATATTTACTTTTTGGCCAACCGTAATCATTCACAACGAGACAAATTCGGCTATCAATGCTTACTGCTTCCAGACAAAATAGCTGATACGGTACAAGAAATTCTAACTAAACTCGATGCCGAAAAGCCATATGAAGTATTAAAACAGCCCGTAATAAAATCTTTCTCGTTAATCGACAAACAACCTCTCGAACAGCTTCTCAACGAAGTGCAAATAGGTGACCGGAATCCATCACAACTGAAGAATTACATGAGAAGAATAATAGGGGGCAGAAAGATAGACAGTTGCATATTTTACCAGTTATGGCTTTGTCGACTCCATCCCGAATGTGCAGCAGATACTCGCAGTTGGGCATCACATGGCAAAATAGCCGATAGAATTTACGAAAAAACGAAAACATCGAATCCATAGGTACACCACACATCAATAAATGATTAAATCGAAGATTTAAAAAAATGATTTATATTTTACGCCAGAAGCTGATGAACCTGACTCGGAATGACAAACCACAAAGATGGTCACAAATTAGTTCGAATGACAGAAACCGATCAAGCTCTAGGGAACGATCAGCTCCCACGATATGCTGGTATCACCAGTCGTACGGCAGCAGAGCTCGGAAGTGTAGACCGCCGTGTACATTTAAAACTCATACAATAGGGAAACGATCCCGTCGATCGTCGGTAACTGCTGCAACAACTGATGTAGCTCCTAAAAACATTCGTCTACTTTACAACTGATGTTCCATTCTTAGTCGACACAGGAGCCGAAATAAGTTTTGTGCCGCTCGATAGTAAAGATTGACGAAATGTCAATGGGGCACTTACTTTGAAAGCAGCAAACAAATCCGACATAAAAACATACGGCAAGCGAAAAAAACTTTAGATTTCAGTCGAAAAATTTCGCTTCGATAGGAGTTTGTTATCGCAGATGTATCGGTACCTATAATCGGTATTGATTTCTTGAAGAATTTCGACTTATTAGTGGATTCCCGACTAAATCAGCATTTGAACAGAGACTGTTCATTGGTGGTGTGTTGTGTGTGGTGTGTGCTACTTATAAGAACGATATAAGTAGTGTAAGAATGGACGTGAAAGAAAAACTCTCACGGTCACTAGAAGAAAACGGAAAGCAAATGGAGCAAAAGCAAGAAGTAAATGTAGTACCGACAGGAAGTAAAATAAGCAAAAGCAGGAATGGAAGAAGGCTGGAGCGTTGGAAGTCAGGACTCAAAGATGGTGTGCAAATAGTGTTCAATGTAATGTTTTCGTTTTTTAATTGACTAAGAGTGTAAATTTGCTTGAAACAATCTATCGAGCCTGCCTCAGTCTTCTCAAATGTTGTCGTTGCCTCGGGAGTTTTAGACGGAGATGTAAGGAGCTTCTTAAAGGAGTTCGAGGCCGTGGCGGAGCTAGTCGGGGTCAAGGAACGGAGGCCGAAGGCGGTGGTGCTGGAGACTCTACTAAGAGGCAGGGCGAGAGCGGTGTACGATAGTGTGGAGGACGTTGACTGGAAGGTGGTGACGGAAAGGCTGATGATGTCGTGAAGAAGATAGAAGAATTACAACGAGAGGTGGCAGCGTTACGAATAAAGGGTGAAAGAAATAATAAATGCCATATTTGCGGAGAAACCGGACATTGAAAGAGGGATTGCCAAACAAGACGAAAACGTAACCTTCTTATACCATATACAATGTGTTCTTTATGTCTTTCGAAACTGGCGGCCGCGGCAGTAGTGTAGTGAATCAGAACACAGGTGGGACGACCGAATTGTATTTAACGAAATTTACAGAGTTACTCAGTAAAATTGGAAAACCATATTGTTCATTTGCAAAATAACAGTTCATCATAACGAACAGAACATTAACGAGGTGCTCACGAAATATACGAAGTTGTTCACGGGAGACGGAGAACCGTACAGGTTTTTTAATAAAGTTAAACATGAAATTCCGATAAAGAACTGACCATCTTCACAACACCACGGGTCCTCGTACATTTGGAAGCTGAGATAAACCAGCAAATACAGGAGATGTAAAAAAAAAGCAGGTATAATTGAAGAAGCAGATAGCCCGTACAGCTCACCGGTACCTTTGGTAAAGAAGCCAAACGGAAAGTATAGATTTCTGTGTTGAACTTTAAAGAACTGAATAACGTGACAGAAATAGAAACCATGCGCAATAATGCCAACAATAGCGGAGACATTCGATCGTCTACAGAGTGCTGTTACGTTTCGATAAATTTCGTTGGAACACAGTTAGGCAAATTAGTAGTGCGGTGGCAATATCATCAGATCAGAGTAGGTATATAATCGGGAATAAAATATTAAATGAAACTAAACTAACCTGTGACAATAATAGTAAATCTTTGTCGGATTCAGGACTTGTATTGTTAGACGACGAACCGGATGAGGTTGCAAAATACGTGGTCCCAATACCACTATCTGTAATTTGGCGAAGATAAAGAAAAACACCCGGAACCGAGTTCAATGATCTCATTTCATTTTATTTTGTAGTCATAAAGAAAGAATATGTATTCATCTATAGTCATATATAGCTGACTAATTAATGATATGTGCAAAATAGATAATCTAATTGTATATTTGATTTTCCAGTAAAATACACATATTTAAAATGCATTTTTATAGAGAAATGTATATAGGAATCGATCTTCAACTAGCCTATCAAATCTAGTCGCAAAAAAACTTACTATGTATATATATTCATTATCCACTGTCTAAGTACTAACAACACATCAATAAACAGTCAATATACTTATTTAATTAATTACAATAAATGTGTTCTCGTTTTATACATTTATTTAATTTGAATTATCAGTTATCAGTTAGTTATTGCAAAATATGTACTTGCTTACCTTTCATGCATGAATCATCACCCATTGGATGTGAAAATTCCTCAGGTAAACTTTTTTTTTTCGGCAATGGTAATGCTTCTTCTTCTTGTCTATTGCTTTCAGTAGTATCCATATTGAATTGTCAGAAGGAATAATAAACAACAACTTCTAAAATATGAAATAAATAAATAATTATTTAGACAGCTTTTAATTTAAAAAAAATTTAACAAAACGAAAATTTAATCGAAAAGTAAATAAATTTTAAGTAAAATTGATAGAACTGTGATGACAGTACCTGTTAAAAAAAAAAATAAAGCTTTTTAATTCTAATATTTTCGATAGATATTTTCAATTAGATTCAATTATGGAGAATTGTGTTTTTTTTTTTCAAAAAAATATTTGAAATCATCAATCAGAAGATGTGTTAGACCAACTGGCTGGAAGTACTGGACAGCGGTTTCATCCTGGTATGGGACTCATTCAACATCAGTGCGCATTTTACAACGCCTGCACCTAGCAGGTTTCGAACCCAGGACTTTCACTAGTATGATCAATCGGCCAACCTTTGTACAACTAAGCCGGCATCCAATGGTGTTAATGTGTAAGTCTGTGATTGATCTATCGGTTTTGCGTGACTTTAATAATTTTACAACAGAATTTTTTTTGAAGTATCATTCAGTATGATTTTGAGAGTCGGACTTTTTTGTAGCACTACACCCTGTAGCATATTTGTTGTTGGTTTTTTGTATAAGTGTAACTTTTCCGCAGCCATGTGTATTATTGAAGCTACCTGTGAAAAAAATTTACAGACAAATCGGTCTAAATGCTTCATAAATCACATGTGACATATAATCTAGCAACCAGTTGACTTGTCGTATACTGACTGCATAAACGGTAGTACATCTTGCATTCTATTTTCCCAGACGCCATTTATCTGCCTACTATCCATCCATATCCTACGATCAATAACCAGAATCTACAGAATGCATCCCGTAGATAAATTCACTAATCATCCATTGCAATCTATCCGACTGTTCGAGTAGAATTACAAATACTTCTGTGTTATTAGAACTAGCCACCTAGTTAGTTAGATTGTTATCAATCAAGGGAGTTGGTTAAACTATCATAAACTATATAGAGATCAACATTTCCATATAAATTCGGTCTTTCTTTTCACCACCACCACCCTAATACTGATTTTTTATTTTTTTTGGTGTCTGTGCCCTCTGTACATTTATCACCGATATTAATCTAGATTTTCAAGAAACAGAAAACAAGAATTGTTTTTTTTTTTAACAACCGAATAAATTATATAGATTTTATTATTTATTTACCAAAATCCAGCTTATCATTAAATCATTGTTATTTTAAAAAAAAAATAGTAAGAATGTCAGTCAGTGCTGTAATTAGTTTGTGTATTGTTTTTTGCAAATCTGTGTGTGCGAAAAAAAATTTTTTTTCTGATGATGTCATCATCACTTACGTCATCTTATTTACTAATTATTATTAGTAGTATTAACATTATTATTATTATTATTATTATTATTATTATTTTCTTCGCAAAGTCTATGCATGTTTTAGTGTATTTTATTTAATGATGCAAGGCAGAATTATGATTTTTTTTTTCCAGCAAGAATTCACTGTTTTTTCGTTTAATTCGAAAGATTAATAAAAAAATAAATGAATCCGAGATAAGATGTAAGAAAGAGCATCAATTTTTTTTTTAAACAAACATAATCATAATGATAATAATAATAATGTTAGTAGAAGTAGTAGTAGTAGTAGTAGTAGTAGTAGTAGAAATATGAAAAAGTAAATAAAAACAACAGGAAATGCTTAGAATAAACAGAAAAAAAGGAGGCTAGTTTAAAATTCAGAATAATATATATATATGCATACATATAATTATCTGATTGTTTGTATTGTGTTTACAATTAGATAATAATAATAATAATAATAATTTTTTTTTAAATAACGGGTACTTTTTTCCCAATGTATTTCAATTTTTAATCATACTGTCAATATATATATATATATATATATATATATATATATATATATATATATCAGTTTCGTGCTTTTTGAAAAAATAAACACACTAGATAACATTTAGACCTGTCTTTATTCGATGATCGGTTAGATGAGTGTAAATAAGCCTCAAATTGGTATGCCCTATTCTCTAAACAATGATTGTGCAGTGGAGTTTGCCTCTTTGATGAACAAGGTGACGCTTTGATCGACACTTAACTTGTCATATATTCTAACATAAGTTAAATTAGAATAATTATGCCCAAAATTTAATTATCAAAGAGCAAAAATAAAAAGATACACTTGATTTTAGTTCAAATTTTTATCACCACTTTATTATATCACTAAGCTAATTAATTAGAAAAAATTTAGTTATTATCAATTTAGGCTCGCAGTCTGACGTAATCCAACTGAATTCACACAATTCATAGTTAATGAGATTGTTAATAATTTACCATGTATTTTTTTTTTAATCTTGAACACTGATCATGAATTAATTGAACGAAAGAAATAATTGTACTTTAGTTGATAAGCTCAGCTGTCATATTGATCGACGGAATATTAAAAAATTATTTTTTTTCAAAAATCAAATATCGACTGTAAATCATTTGTATTGGAATATTGAATATACAATCTATCAAAATGTTACATTTCTGAAAATTTTTAGACAATTAGTAACAGTTCTTATGAAGTAGCTGTTAGTAATTCCCTAGATTTTTTATTAACGCTGTTGAGAAATAGTTCATGAAACTTATAAACATTACAATTTCAACATGCTTAATTTTTAACCGAACTTTCGAAGCTTTAGTAATATTCAATCAAGAGAACTTACAGTACAGAGATCGTTTAAAAAAGCCCTATTCTATAGTTCAATAAATTAAACTTAATTACTAAATCATTTTTATTCAAACTCCAATAAAATGTGATGATGAACAGTTTTTTTGTTTTTTTCAAAACATTATCTCGTCTAACTGATAAATAAGAAAGAACCCACATGTTGTATGTACATTCGTATGATTCGTATGTTTTTTTGATAAATGACCCTTATATTTTCTAAAAACTTTTAGTTGACTCGATTTAAATAAATAGTTGAGAAATTTTCATTTTCATTATTTTTTTTTTCATCTACCAATTTGATTGTTTACACAACAGGGTTCCAAGAACTATAATATTATGACATTTATTTACTTGACAATACATAATAATTATAAATAAAAATTATTATTTAAGAAATCACTAAGATTCTCATCATATTAAATAATCCCGAAACACCAAAAAATTTAACAAATATCAAAAAGTTTCCGTTAAAATTTAAAAAAAAATCATCTGTTCACCAGTTTTATTTGGCCATTTTTTATCTTATCATCAACTGACTTGAAAATGACACATGAATAATGGACATTTAGACACATCAATTAATCCGGTGTCTGTTTGGAGATGTCATCAAATTTCTGCAAACTATGGACTGTAAAAATTAAATCTGAGTTTGCGCAATGTGTTGACAGAATGAATGATTGCAACTTTTATGTTTGCTGATTTAGGAACTAATTGCATATGTGAATAATTTTTATTGAGATAAAAGTCATTTTAAACGCCAGACTCCAAGCCATTAATAAAATGAAATCATCAATCAATCATTGTTAGACCACCATGAGAAACCTGGAAGCACTGGACGTGCGCTGATGAGTCCCATACCAGGACGAAACGGGCGTCCAGTGCTTCGAGGTTTCTCATGGTGGTCTAACAATGATTGATTGACGATTTCAAATGTGTAAAAACGCAAACCTCAAAAACTCTGCCCCAAAATTATAAAAATGGTTCACATTTGCATACAAATCATTGGAAATGAAAACATTTATATATGGAGACGTGTCAACACTATGACCAGTTATTTTTATCATACGCTAGAATTATTTAATACAGTAATGTTGATTCTTGTGAAAAATTACTAGGATTGGTTTCGGAAATTCTAGTACTCGTCTAAGTTTCCGAATTATACATAATCATACAAAATAATATGAAAGGAATTACGGAAATAACTAGTAAAATACTACATTTAACATTGAAAGTAATTGAAACCAATGAACAAATGTGTTTATTCACAGTATAAATGTCTACAATTTCTCTTCATGTGTTCACCACCTTAGACTTTACTAACATTTATAAATAAATTAAAATTATCTATTTAGGATAGATATTTAATGAAGAGCAATGATCACTTGATAACTATGATAACTATGCTAATTATCAGTCTGATTTGCAATCACGTAATCAATTGATTAGGATAGGATGAATATTGATTAAATAATAAAACTCCTCGAATTCATTACAGTGCACCACACCTGCTACACAACGTCAGTAACATAGATACACATTAAATAGTATACATTCCTCATAGAAAAACTATCAAAGTTGATTACCACGTAACCGATCGCTTATCAACTTATTCATTCCCGCCTGGTGTATGCTATCTCTCCTTCCCAATACAACTCGACACACACACACACACGTATTGAAACTATAAAGGTATGAAGAATCAGGACGGAAATATCAATTTTGTTTATACAATACATACAATACATACTGATTACATCATCTACTATTTAGTGTTTTTCAGCATTGATCATGCATGGTCACTTCAGTCAAAGTGTGATTTGATCGGAAAGTGTGCATCTGCGGAAAAAACCATGACACACTATCTATTACTATCTACTACTACGACAACAACAATAACTACTACTACTACTACTACTGCTAATACTACTACTTCAGTGTTTATCTACACAATAGTTTTTTTTATTTTATTACATAAACAATCCATTATGGATACAATGTTTCAATGCATTGAGAACGCATAACATTCAGTTTATCTATCTATTAACTAACTAACTAACTAATTCACATCATGAATACTATATAGACAGTGTATGGATGTTAGTTGTTGCCTAGGTGATAAACTGGTGTTGTAGGTGTTGATTGAACGAATTAATATCGAGTCGATAGGAAGGAAGAATCAATTCAATCACATAAGAATGATTAGTTAGATCATACAAACAACATACATACATACATGCATGTCAATGTGTAATCAGGATTAAATCGTTT